CCACGGTTCGGCGCGGAGGACATGTGGGGGCGGTCTCGGCGGCGCGTTCGCGCCGTCGCCGGGGCCCGCCGCGCTGCCCCCGCCCGATAGTTGCTGGGCGCGGGCTGTGTCGGTTGCAGCGCGGCTGTCTTCGGTCGGCCCGTTGGATCTGCTCCGCGACCTCGACGCCCGTCTTCGATTCTGCGTTGAATGCCGAGGCGCCGCGACGCAGGGGGCGCGATGCCGAGCCAGCTGGACTCGCCATGGGAGAAATAGCACAGCACGCCACGCGCCGCGTGTTCGGGCAGGCATCAACGGGTCCGAAGAGCTCGAAGATTCCACGGCTGTCGTCGCCCCCAACGAGGACGTCGAAGACGACCGGAGCATGGCGCAGCATTTGGTTTGCCCACAGAAGTCCGACGTCAGTCCGTCGTTCATCGCCCCCATGGACCCTGCGCACTAAAAGTTGCATGGCGCTCGTGACCGCGGCCGCTCTCCGCGGCGTTTCGGTCGCGCTCGCCGGGGCGCGTCGCCAGTCTCTGGACCCTTTAAAAACTCCGCGGGGACTTGCCAGCGCTTCGTCGGGTTGGGAGGGCGCAGAACCTAAGGCAACGAAGAGCGGTCTGTCTGCATAGCACGGCGGCGATGCCTGGGGGCGACCCCCTGCAGAAACCTGGCGGGCCGCCATGGGGCGCCGTCAATTCCGTCTGGCTGCCTCTCACAAGCTCGCCGAAGCTCGCGGGGCCGTCTGCGTGGCGGTCCGCCACGCGGGAAGGGGCGCGGCCCGATGGACGGGCGAGGGGGGCCGGTTGCCCGCGCGCCCCGGCCGCGCCCGGCGGCGGCGCGCTGGTGGCGCGCGTTTGCTCCGGCTTGGCGCCCGCCAGCAATTGTCGTCCCAGGCCAGTGAAGCGGGCGCGCGGGGGGCCCCGCGGGCGTGGCGCGCAGGTCGCTGGGGGCCCAATTCGCGCCGCGAGGGCGGCGTCGACGTTGCGCCCGTCGAAGCCACATGCCAGGTCGTCGCCACTTGAAGCGCGCGAGCGCGCCCATCGGTTTGAAAAGGTCGTTCCCACAAGAACTCTAGCGCAGCATGGTTCCGCTTGACCCCGCGCCTCGGGCGCGGCATGAGGCGCATGGCCCGCCGCCCTGGTCGGGCTGGCTGGCGCGCGCAGGGCGAGCATGCATTGGGGCATTTGGGCTTAGTGCGCGCCCATGCCCATGGCAAGCGGTCGTTGTCCGGGGCTCTTCGTCGCCGCGGCGCGCCGGGCCAAGCTGCGCCGAGCGGCGTTGACAGCTTGCGCGGGGCAGAACAACTGGCACTGCAGGGCATGCGAACAGAGCTGCCAGCGCGCGCCCGCCAAGTCGGCCAGGGCGCGTCGCTTCGATGCCCCCCGCTTTCTCAAGGCGTCGGTGGCGAGCCTGCGGGCGCCGTTGACACCGAGCGTGATCCATTCCTCGCGTGGCGAGGCTGGTTTCGCACGGTAGCCCTGCCTGGTGAAACCCCACGGTAGGTGGGGGCCGCCGCGGGTTTGGCGCCTGCCCGGCGCGTCCTACGCGGGCCATCCTTGCGCCCGCGATGGGGCTGGTGCGCCGCGGACGCAGCAATGCGTCGAGCGGCGCCGTCGCGCCGTCGGATGGAGCCGGCGCGCGTCTAACGATTGGCCAACGTCGCCCTTCAGGCTGCTGCTGCCGCGCGGGCTGGTGGTTTCAACATCGTCGCGTTGTTCCGGCACGCTTGCACCTTCGTGCGTTTCTGCGGCGGTGTAGGGGGCGCGCGCTCAAGTGCCCTGCTGGGCCCTCGTGGCTTGGCGGCCCTGCCCCCTGCGCCACTGCCGAGGCTGCGTCGCGCTGGCTCTGGCGGGGCGCGTGGGGCGAGGGCGCGGCGGCGCGTGTGCAGGGGTGCATCTGAGCGAGCCCGGTGGTTGACGGGCCTGTCCGTCCCTGGCTTGGTGAGCTGTCGCGTTGCGCGTGAGCTCGGCGGCGCGCAGCCTGCGCGAGTCACTTTGCTGTGAGTCGGCTTGGGGCAAGTCGGATGGGGCTCGCGAAAATGTACGCGCTGCTTGTGCTGATGTGCGAGTGGCATTTTCCGTCGGCCTAGTGGCTGCGGTTTCAGGCGTGTGGCAATGATATGATAATTCCGCCTCTGCTGCCCCAGGGCTGGTGGATTGGTCGATGGCCCATGGCATCAGTTGGCGCTGATGGGCGACCCCAAGGTGGATCGGCAGGGGACTGATGCCCTGTTGGAGAAGCCTGGCGCCGGCAAGTCCGGCATGCCGCCGCGGTGGGATCCACCCTTCTGCCCCTGCACTGGAAGCCTATTTGCAGGCAGCGAGTGGGCAGAAGCCATGCCCGAAGGCCAAGCTGAATAAATGTCGGTCAGCCCCGTGGCCACCTCGTAATCGATGGTCTCGGCGGAATTGGAGACGTGCTGACCCGCGACGCCCGCGGCGAACATGAGCTGCGCGTGATCTCGGGTGCCCCATCCGCCCTTGGGCCGTCGGACTCGCGAAGGCCCCTCTGCGATGCAAGCGTCGTCACATCGAACGAGCAATTAGGGTGACCCGCGGATGGGTGAGTTTGGCTGCATGGGGAAGGGAAAAGGAAAGGGGAAGGGGGTGCAGCTCCGAAGAGGCCGGGAGATCGGGCGCACCGCGTGGCGAACCACTCGCGTGAACCACTGCGCGAAGGAGTCCGAGAGTCTGAACCACCTGTCGCGGTTCCCGGCCACGGCGGTCCAGCTGCGGTGTCCTTCCGCCGTACAGAAACGCCTCATCTGGTCTTCCCATTTCATGCGCCTCACGCAAGGAGGTCGGGTCAGCCGGCCCCGGCCGTCGTTCCTCGTGTCCCGGGATCCATTCATAATCTCTCCAGAACGTCGTTCTCCACACCCATGTCGCGGCGGTCATTCTCGAAACATGGCACGCCCACGACCATTTCCTCTGGGCGTGCGCCTCCGGCCACCTTCGCACTCCCACCGCCTGCGCCTTGTCCCACGCCTTCTTTGTCACCCGTTGGACCCAAGCGTGCCACTGCTCCTCTGGCGCACGCCTGAAGCCGCAAATCCGGCGCAGCATCTTGTTCTGCGCAGCCGTCAGGCAGCGGATCTCCGCCGCGAGCGGCGTCCAGGAGTTCGAGCCGTACAAGACGCATGCACCAACAGACGTGTCGAAGAGCTTCAGTCTGCAGGAAAGGGAGACGTCTTTGTTCAGCAGCATTTTCTGCATTGCCCAGAACTTGCGCCAACCAGTGGCTACTCTACGCTCGGTCTCAACCTTTGTCGCGTCGGTCAAGGAGAGCATCGTGCCCAACACCTCCAAAGGTTCGCCCTCTTCCAGCACCTTGACCGAGAAGCCGCCCTCCAATTCGACGTCCCCCCTCCGCGACACTTCTGGCTGATTTGTTTGCACTTTGCATTTTGTCGGGTGTAACTGGAGGCCTCTCTTCTGTAGAGCAGCCTTCAAAGCCAAGATCATGCGCTTCAACGACGTCCACGTCCGTGAAGTCAAGGTCACATCATCCGCGAAGGCCACGTGCGTGAGGCGCCGTCCATTGAGCGCCTGGCCGACTATAGTGCCATAGCCGCGCCGCTGCCAGACGCAGCTCGCTTCGTCGAGAATCTGTGTCATGACCAGGTTGGACAAAACTGGTGACAACGGGTCCCCCTGCCAGACACCGCGCTGCACTTGGAAGCGCCTGCTCTCCGACCCCGGGACCACCTGGACGTAGGCCGACATGTCCCGATAGAGCGCCCGGAGCACGTTGACAACACTTGGGCCCACACTCGCTGCCTTCAAAGCTTCGAACAGCTGCGCGTGGTGCACTCTGTCGAATGCTTTTTAGACGTCCAGCGTAGCCATCCACAGCTCCTCCCCCCACTCCCCGGACTTTTCCGCCACCATGCGCAGCACGTCTAGAGCGTCGTCACAGCCTCTGCCACTCTGGAAGCCGTACTGCTCTTTACGATATCTCTGCTCGACCTGGTCGCGGATACGCCGGTATAGCACAGTTCGGCTGCATGGTTAGGCCTACTGAAGCTTTGTTCTGGTGGAGTAACTCACTCGCGCGGGAAGGGCTTCCCACGCTAACAGAGCGATGAGGCATAATGTTCTGAGTTCCTTGTTGCGGTCGAATCGGTCGACTGCTGTGGGGCAGTGTTTTGCTGCGTTCACAAGATGTGCGCTGGCCTAGATGCGGTCTGGTGGTTTTGCAATTGTTGCCTCTCTCTTGGGGCCTGGAACCAGCGCCCACGCCAACTCCTGCTGTCGCGTGGGCTGCGGGGTCTGTCCCGTCTGCTGCTTCGGCGCGCTTGTGACGGAGCGGCTCGCTGACCTCCTTCGCCCCGTCGGCTTGAAAGCCTCGTTCGGCGACCATGTCGAAAATTTGAACTGGGGGCCGTGGGGCTTGGTAGTCCCTGGTGGGTGTTTTGTTCGCCCTGTCTGCCGGCTGGTGGGGTGAAGGAGCTGGTCACAGGAGTGTGGGGTCGATTGCTTCGAGGTTAACTTCCCTCTGCTGTGGTGGGGCGTCTCAAATAGCACTTGTTGTCGCTGCATCTCTGAGTGCGCTTTACGTTGCTGGGCCACAACGCGTCCGACTTGGCCAGTGTCTCGTCAACTGTGGCGTGGGCTGTGGCTGCGGCTACGGCTCCGTATCTGGCTGCGTTGCCCGTGGCATCTGGTCGCCGCCGTCCTCCATGGGGACCGTAGCATCGCTCTGATGGTGTGGATGGTGGCCGTGGAGAAGGCCACCTCCGCTGGCGGGATAGCGACGATGGGCGCGGCAAGTTCCAAGGGTGCTGCATGTGTCCGGTGAGAATGCTTACCCTGGGCCCTCAGCCGCAGCATCTGCGTACCCTTGCTGCCAATGGTCCGTAGAAAAAATGCCGTTCCCCAAGCCCGTGCAGGGAAGGGGCAGGAAGAGAGGAAGGGGTCTGCGAGGAGGGGCAAGGAAGGGAGAAAGTGCCACCGAGCGAGGTGGTGGACCGAATCCGGTCTAGGCTAGCCCCCCCCATTTCCTCTGCGCTCGACCTTGATGCTCGCCATTACCTGCTTTTGCTTGAGCTGAGTCATTTTCGCGTGCCGCTCTTCTCTAATGTAGCTAGTTACACCGCCAGTGAAAGTCCCGATGAACGACGCGATGATCGCGATCCCAAACATGATGCCCATGAAGTGGATAACCTTGGCATAAAACGTGTAGTCTGTCTCAGGGTAGTCCCCAAAAAGGTGCACAATGCTGTATTGCAAACCTCGCAGGACGCTGACATAGCGCATGAACATCGGAAGGTCTCCATTACACTCTTCAACTGCGTCCTTATCCTCGCACGTATCCAATGTCTGCCACTTGCACTTCGACTCCTCCTTCTCGAAGCACTCATTGATCTCGTCCCGGAAGTCCTGACTACAGGGGAAGACACTAAGACTGCTTGCTTACAAGCTCGGGACTGCGATTTTGAAGCCGATTGCAATGCAAAGCGAGTGAGGCGGAGGCGTCGGTCATACAATAACTGTGCGTAATCATCTCATCAGGGTGCTACGTGATTATATGCCTCCCCAGGCGGTCGCGGGGGCTGTCCGAAACGTCCCAAACTGTCAAAATATGGTATGCTGGTTTTACTGGTTTTCCCTTGCCGACCAGAGAACCCCAAAAAAACAATCGCCCCCTGGCGCCCTCCTCGGACTTCAAGACGGCCCCACGACGGCCCCAGGACAACGACGGTGTCAGCACACGTGACCGTCCCTGTTTTCTCCTTCCCGACGCTCTGCCTCTCGCCCCCAGGACGGCCACAAGACGGCCACAAAACCCAGACAACGGCTTCTAAGACGGCCACAACACCCAGACACGGCCCCGAAGCCTTCTTGCACTGACATCCTCGCTTTATGGAAAATCACGACGGATGTGTTTGCCATTTTCGGCAACTGGGGGCCATCAGCAGGCCTTGGGATCGTCAGGAAACGACTCTGGATGAGAAGTCGATCGCTGGGAAAAGGTCGAGGCCTCGTGGGAGCCACGGTGTGGAACAAAAACACGGCGCTGGATATCTGGAGAGCTCCAGGCCCCCACATGTCGGGTAGGACGACAGCGGGGTCTCGGGCATAAGGAAAGGGATGGGAGCTCAAGATATGCTGCGTGACGCTTGTTGCGGCCCCGCCGCCAGGCGCTGTGATCGACGCCTGCACGCCTCCAGCGCCAAAAAACGTAGGGGAAACCAGCTATGCGAGCTGGCCCGCCGAACCCCTATTCAAAGAGAAGCTTTAAACACGCAAACATATACTGTTAGCCAGCGTGGACCCCAAGGGGTGTCCATAGCAGCATGACTGGAACAACCACCACGATGGGATCAACTCCACTGCTCGCGGCATCACCCCACCCACCCACCCGCAACTTGTTTTGCAAAACGCATGCGGCGGCAATTGCGATGAGTGATTGGTGTTAGCTGGTGCTTCTCCGCAGCCGCGCTCGCCCGCGCATGCTCGCGCGCGCAGCGGCCAGCTAGTTTGGCGCGGCTGGCGCAAACGCAGTGGCGCTGACTTCTAGGCACTTCCCAACGGGCAATCCAGAGCGAGTCGGCCACTTGGGCAAGCGCGGTATCATGGCAACGTCGGCAACGGTAGACGCGAGGATGATAATAGCCGCGCTGGCGACGATGACGAAAACGGCGACGGCACGGCAAGCGACGGCGCCGATGCTGATCACGCCGACAACGATGACGGCGTCCTCGCGTCGGTGATGGAGGCTTTGGAAAGACCTCGACGTGCGCGCGCGGCCGGCGCTGGAGAATGGTCCGCATGGAAGTATTTGACACTGATCGTGCCCCCCAGCACGCGCGCAAAGGCTTTTGAATGATCTCGACATGCAGCGCGAAAGGCCCGTCTGGTCGAATTGAATGGACATTGTGAAAAACCATGGTCTCTTGAGAATTCGCAAGAAAACGCGGACGCAATTGTTTGAAAACCGATTGTGCGGAACCGTGTGTTTTCCCGATCTCCAAATGATGGGTTCTTGTTCTCCATGTCCAAACGATGAGGCCCCTAGTCCCCATATCCAACGGATGGGGTTCTTGTTCCCCGTGTCCTAAGATGGAGTAATTGTTTTCACTCTGACCTCGCTGGACTATTCTGACCCCATCCCCTCCCAGACCATGCCTACGAGCGCCTACTCTGCGAGTGCAAAAGCGCGACGATTGCGGCCTTTTGCAAAGCCATCAACACGGGCTTCTACGTCAACAGCTACACTACGAAGCAGCGCCCCACCATGGAGGGAGTCAGTCCTCGAGAACCTCCTGCGGGGATTGGAGCGCCCACAGGCAAAGAGAGACCAGGAGAAGAAGGAGCTGGAGAGGCAGCGCGCCATGGACGAGCCAAAGATCGACGGGGCGGCGGCCAAGAAGGCGCACCCGGGGAAGTCGGCGTTCGCGGCGACCGCGGCGCACATCAAACGGCTGAACTCTTCCAACCGCCCTTGCTACTGGAAGAGCGCGGCGAAGATGATGCACCCGATCCTCTACGAACACGTGACCTTCGTGAGCCACAGGTGCTGGGCCGTGCACGCGAAAGCAGGCGCGTTCAATGCGGCGGAGGCGTGGAGGCGGCAGCGCGGCGATTCCGCGCGTCACTATGCGATCAAAGCTGGCGGCGGGACCATCGTCGAGCACCACCGCAAAAGCTCTGGGGAGAGAAAGAAGCGAGAAAGACACCGATGCCCGGCTCTGACGCTCTGGGCGCGATTGGGCGCGGGTGGAGTTATTTAGGCCTTCTCCCCGCGTCGACAGGCATGGGCTCGCGCCCGCTGGCTGGCTGGCGCGAGATCAGCGAGGGCGGCCGGAAGCCGTCGATGAATCGGGCTGGCGCGAAGTGCGCGACGACGGCGGAGGCGCTCGATGCTCGCGCGGCTGAGAGGGGCGGCGGGTTGGACGTCCGAGAGAAACTAAACATCTTCGAACAGTGCCTTAGCGAGCGCTGCAAAGATACGGCCAAAGAGGGCGAGAGGGGAGAACGGAGCCTAGGGCGATAGGGGGCGACGCCCAGGACGCGCAATGCCGGACCGCCAAAGGCTGCGACGACCAGCCCCCCCGATAATTTATTTCTGGCGCGGCAGCGATGCTGTCCTGAAGAACCTCCTCCTCCCTCTCCCTCCTCCTCCTCCTCCTCCTCCTCCTCCTCCTCCTCCTCCTCCTCCCTCTCCCTCCTCCTCCTCCTCGTCCTCCTCCTCCTCCTCCTCCTCCTCCTCCTCCTCCTCCTCCTCCTCCCTCTCCTCCTCCTCCTCCTGGCACGCGCGCGGCACGCGGGCGCGCCGCGTCGAAGAGCTGGCGGCGAGGTTCGAGCAGAGCGGCGAAGCCGCGAAGACATGGGAGCGGTTCATTGGCATCCCCTTCGGCGATGGCCGCGACCTGCACGGCGCGCGCTTCCAGCGCCTCGCCGCCGAGTTCCGCGCCCCCCTCTTCGAGGGCTTCCAGGCGCCGCCCTCCGCAAGGGGCAATGGAACAGCCGCCGTGCACAACGCCTCGCTGCTCCGCTCCTTCTCCGCCACTCTGGCCGAAGACAAGGCCAAAGACCACCGCGCGGCCGAGAGCTTCGATCCACTTTGTCTGGCAAACGGCAAAAGAACCACGGATGGCAACCGGGCTGCTTTTCCAAGGAAGACGTCTGCCGCATCCCACAGCCAGAAAATTAAATGTTCCTTCGTCGGCCAACTGCAGGCCGAGGTATCCCGGGGTGACTGCTTCCTGGAGCGGGCCTTCTTATTGGGATCTCTGCGCGACGATCTGGCCTCGGGCGTCGGCTTTTGACCCTCCTTTGTCTTTGGCGTTCGCGCTCTCTCGGGGGGCGCGCGTGGACGGGGTGAACGTCTTGGCCGCGGGAGCTTCCGAGCTTTCCTTGGGGCGCCGCGAACGCGTGGGCCTGCGCAAGACACGAGAGGCGCGGGGCCGTCTCAATGCCGCGTGGGATGCCGACGAGATGCGGGGGCCCTCGGCGCCCCAAGAAGACGTCGACGATCTAGACCAGGAAAGGCTTCGCGCCACCGCTTAGCAATGCAGTGCGCTCGTCGCGCAGAAGTTGGGCGCCCGAGTTATCCGGGGTAACTCGGGCCCGGGGTAACTCGGGTTTGGATTCCCGAAAAAGGAATTCGAGTTAGCCCTGATCCGAGTTACTCCTGATGGTTTTGGGGCTCTGGACGCCCGAGTTATCCGGGGTAACTCGGGCCCCGGGTAACTCGGGTTCGGAATCCCGAAAATCGAACCCGAGTTAGCCCTGGCCCGAGTTACCCCTGATGATTCGGGGCTCTGAAGAAGGTCGCGGCCCACCTGGAAGGTCTGGCGCAGGCGCGAGTGGAGGAGCACGAGCGACCTTGCCAGGCGGGCGCCGAGGTGCCCCACCCCAGCCCGACATCCCGGCCGCAACGGGGGGCCCCGGCGGCCGCGCGGGCGAGCCCGGCGGCGGCGGGCACGCGCGCCGTGGGCGTTTCCCGCGGCGGTCCCACCACTATTTAGGGGGCAAACAAACCTACCTCGCTTTTGACCACCCTCGCTTCCAAGAAATACCAAGCGATGCCAAACTTCGGCATGTACTGGTCAGGCCGCTTGACGAGGAGGCGCGTGGTGTGGCTTGGTTTTGCCTGGAAGCGAAAGCGGGGTAGGTAATTCACGCTCTGGCTATTGGGCTCCTTCGACGACGAGGAGGTGCGGGCCATCCTGGACTTTGGCCATCCGACCGTCGCGGATCCCGAAGGAATTATTGGCGCTGCTCTTCACGAGCGCCACGACAGGGCTGGCCGAGGGAAGCGACGGGGTGAGGCAGCGCAGAGCGCCCGGCAGATTGCGGCGAAGCGATTATGAGAAGCTCAGAGGCGCGCAGGCCACAGACAGGATCGGACCGATGGAAACTCAGGAAGCAGCACTGAAGGTCAACGCAAAGGAAGACCACATGGAGGAAGCGAAAAAGACGAAGCTAGACCCAGGGGCAAACGGACGCCAGTGGCCTCAGTTGCAAAAGATGGCGTTTACAAAACACCTAGCGCATTCATCCAGCATCTCATGTCGCAGCTGCCCCCAGACTGGCGGCTGACTCGGCGAAAGACACTCTTTATGGCGATGTTCGCGGAGGCCTGCGACAATGCTTGGGAAGGGGGAGAAGCTGCCGCCCGAGCAGCGAGAGCCCACGCACCTGCTCCTCCTCGGCGCTGGGGGCACGGGCAAGACGCGCGCGGCGCAGAAGCTGGCGTTCAAGGCCACGGAACGCATCTGGATCAACGAGACGCCCGAGTCCCCGCCCGCGCTGGCGGCGGCCTCTTCCAAAGCGCAGGCGCAAAAACATGCCCGCCTGCTCGCCCAGGAGATGGCCCGCGCGGAGACGCGCGCAGGCGACGAGGAGAAAGCTCTTCAGGAGCGGTGGGGGAG